GCGACGTTGTCATTTCGAACGAAAGTCTCAAATGCTGGGATTTTATTGTAATTTATTGTTAATTTGGCTTTTGATTGTTTACTCTTAGGATTAATACACATTTATTTTATTGTAGTATGTATACGTTAATTTAACTTGGTTTAAATGTATTAATTTTGTTTTTTGTAAAATGCCATTGACAACATGGCTTGTTTCTCAACCAGTAAAATATACGACGGCTAGATTTTCATTTTACATCCCAAGCATTGCGATAAGCTGCTGCTGTCTTTGTTTATTTTTGTTACAGTTCGATTTTTATTGTTTTATTTTCAAGACTACTACGTTCAGTTTGAATCTTTACTATGTTTTAAGTCGATTTTAATTGCTAATATTATTTATTTAGTTGGCTCTATCGAAATTGGGCCACGTTAAATTAAAAATAGATTTGTGTGTAGAGTTTATTTATTGTATTGGCTCAAAATTCTGCCAAGTTGTCATTTATTTTAAATCTACCTTGGCATCGAACTGTGTTTTTTCTTTAATTCCTTCTGTACGTATATAAATTGTTTGAAAAAGTCGTAAAAGATACTTAAAAACCAAACACTATTAATCATCTCTCTAAAAATAAATTAGTCAAAAATTACTAATTTTAGCTATTTTTAACAGTCAATTTCTATGTAAAATTGTCCCCTGAATCAAAAAATGTCGTCAAAAGTCAAAAGTAGAACATATATAGTCACTTTTCTATATAATATGGAATTGACTATATCTCAAAAACTGCTCTACTTTCATAATTATGACGGTATTTCACATAAGAATTGGCTGTTAAATGTTGGGGATCCCATGGTATAAGTAAAAAAGCAGCCACTAATAACTATTAAATTAGTCATTTTTGACTAATTCATTTTTAGAGAGCTTATCCAAGTACATTATGGTATTGGATTTTTTAGAATCTCCAATGTTGATTTAATATAGGTCCAAAAAATTTGCTGTTATTTAAGTAAAGGAGACAGAGAAAGTACATGTTGATGATGTCATTAATTAATTATCTCAAAAGTTTACTTACACCCATGTGGTTCAACATAATTGCAATATAATTTGTTTTAATTTCGCCACTACGTGTCTCATTCATTAATCATCACAAACAACCGCGAGGGGGCTCGAGGGCTCCATGTATACATAATGTAAATCAGCTCAATTTGTTTGATTAAAAGGAATTAAAGTGATTTATTCGGAGCGGCTGTGACGTAAGCAGTCCAAGTTCACTATTATTAGCTTTCGAATAGAAGGAAAATCGTTTTGAATCCAGTCCAAGACGTGTGTTAGTCAGCCAGCCTTTCCCCCTTGCTGCTGACGATTTACTTACTACCCAAGAGGTTTACGTCAATTTGCGTGGTTATGCAACTCGTTTATTTAAAAGTTTATCGGACTTTTTATTATCTTCAAAATATTGTGAAACAAAGTTAACCGAACTAAGGTCGCCTCTTTATGTTTTCTTGAAATAGAAAAAAACTTGACTTTAAAACTATGCTATGAAAAAACGAAGCATGATTTGTTTCATACTACAAATTCTTTAATTGTGAGATACCAATATAAATCATTCAGGGAAATATGTTTTGCACGTGTTCCAGTTCTGACCCTAATCTCGGAAAATGTTCATGTTCGAAGCACAACTTTTAAGTATCTATTTTAAACATCTAAATTCGAATTATGCCACGTTTAAAATATTTTTTCAACTCCCACCTTTAAAATACGCAAAATATTCTTCCATCGCGCTAAATAATCTTTTAAATACACATTGACAAGCTGTGACCAGCCCTGGATTAAGGGGGGCTTTGGGGGCATTTAAACTTTAAATTGTATTTTTACTTGAAAGTGATTTTAAGAACCAAAAATGAAAAAAGAGCAGGAAATGGAAGTGGTAATGGAAGTGGCAGAGAAAGAGAAAGGAGACGAACATTTATGTCGTCGTTGTAAATTTGTTATGTTTTTGTTGCGGTACCTTTACGCCCAAAAAAACCAACGCAATATTTACTTTAATTTTGCAGAAATATTAAAAATTAAAAATCTTACGTCAACTTTTGGGTTTAAAGAATATATATTATAATTCAAATTTATCAAAAAAAAGTAATCAATTTTAATTTTTAGGGTTTATAATGTTGTCCGCAAAGAAAGTAATGACACTTGAGGGATAGGGAGTCTACCAAATCTTACCAAGGGGGAGGGAGGGGTCCAAATTATCAAAAAAATGCCTCACGTAATTAATGGATGTTCTCTAATGATCCAAATTTTTTTTAAATTCCGATTTTATTATTTGTAAAAATGTAATAGTATTTTTATGTTTAACTTTTCCAATGGGTGTCGGACTTAGTTGTTCTTGATCCCCAACGTTTCTCTTTGTCGAGGGCCAGTCACGTCCAGTTGGATCGTGACGCTAGTCGGTCCCCGGTCCACGAATCGATTAAGCCTGGAGATCAAGGCCCTTCTCGATCGACTGTGGGATGGGGAGGCTGGGGCCGAGGGGGGACGGTAATTTGGAGTGTAAGATGCATGGTCACGGCCCCGGTCTCCCCTTGAACGGTCCGCTCGAAAAGGAAAACGAATCGATTTGCGTGCTAAGCAACCTTGCTAGTGCGTTCGAACGCCTCGGTTGAGTTATTTTCGTAAAGCACTTAAAAACTTTAGTTTCGCAATTTTTTTGTCGCCGCTCCTGCTCCGCGTTCGCCACAAGACCGAAATAAAAGACTGCCCACGGCGCGCCGCGGCGCCTCGTCAAGTTTTATGTTGCACACACAACTTTTCTGAAGCTCTAAAACTGGGGAAAACATAAAAATACAAGATTGCTTGGCGCATTTAGAAATCATTAGCTGGCCATACACAGACGTTATTGCGCGCGGTTTATCGTGTTATCTGCAAAAACATGCATGTGGAAAACAGGGTTGCCAACTCTTGAGATGCACATTATAGTATTTTCTCAATTTAATTATAGTATTTTTTAGAAATATTATAGTACAGATGACGTATAGGTTTTTGAGAAGCAGGAGCCCACATTTTCCCCCCTTTTTTACCAATAGGCTACTAGCATTTATTTATTATATTATATAATATATTTAGGTATATTATCTATTTTCACAAAACGTTTGTTGTGACAATAACTGATAATTTTACAAACTTTGTATGCAATTGAAAATGTATTCTGTATACAGAATACATTTTCAATTGCATACCTATAGGTACTATGCTCCACACCTCAAAGTCCCACCACGTGACCACGTACGGAACGCAGTCTTGAAAATTTGGTATTTAAGGCTTTTCAGGTTATGTATCTGTCAAAGTATAGTCAATGAAAATAATAATATTTATAGTGTTAAGCGTTAAAAGTTAATAAATCTTTAAGTATCACAATAACAATGGTTGGTTTAAGGATTTAGGAATATAAATACTGCATTTAATGAAATTCCAAAGTGTAAGGTGCAATATAAGTGATATTTTTGTGCATTGGGTCTACATTTCTCCATAAAATAGTTTTAACTAAACAGCATTTATTAAAAAAAATCTAACTTCTCTATTATGAAATAAGAATATCTGTATGAAAGGTAGGTTAATGTATTAGAACAAAAAATATCATCAAATTTTGTATTTTAAGGTTAGAAAAATCTATTTTGACCAAAATAAATAAGTGGATTATTTGAAATAGTGTGTTAATATGGTCATAAATAAATATAGGTATACTAAATAATTGTTGAATATAGCTCAAATTAAATTGAAGCTTTTATACTTCTAACGACAAAACTTGTGCATACCTCTCGGCATACCTACTTTAAGTAAGATTATCAGAAAACATACAATTTTTAGAGAAACTTGCAATGTGAAAATATTTAATACTCCCATGACATGTGATTTATTAAAATTTTTAAAGATATAATGATTTTTCGATGTAGATCAAGTTCAGTCGAAGCTCTTTAACTATTTGTATTGACAAAACTTTATGTAGGTACACTTTAAGCTGGATAAGAAAAACTACCACATTTTTAAATACCATATTATACAGTCTTTTAAATAATCCAAAATACTTATTTATTTTGGCCAAAATAAATTTTTCCAACTTTAAAATTACAAAATTAGATGATATTTTTGTTATAACATATTAACCTACCTTTAAAACAGATATTCATATTCCATAATAGAGAAGCTAGATTTTTTTTAATAAATGCTGTTTAGTTAAAATTATTGTATGGAGAAAACCAGATAACCAAATGCACAAAAATATTACATATTTGGCACCATATATATAAGTATACACTTTAGAATTTCATTAAATGCAGTATTTATATTCTTAAATTCTTAAACCATCCATGGTTATTGCAATGTTATAAAGATTTATACATTTGTAACGCCTAAACATAATATTATTTCTTTCGTTGACTATACTTTGACAGATACATAACCTGAAAAGCCTTAAATGCCAAATTTTCAAAAGACTGCGTTCCGTACGTGGTCACGTGGTGGGACTTTGAAATGTACACAATGTATTTACACATATAACCAATAAAAATCTTTTTCTTCTTTTTCGCTAATGCGCACCACAGTATTTCATGTGGCTATGGCCACAAAACTATAGTTTTGCTTTTGCATAAAAGAGGGCGCGAAAATACAAATTTTGCTTTTTTTTTTAAATTCTACTGTTTTCTTTTTTAAAAATTATAGATTTTTTTAAAAAGTTGGTATTATAATAATAATACTATTATTCAAAATTATAGTATTTTAACGTACTATAATACTTTGATATAGTACATAGTACACCGACATAAAATTTAAGTAGAAATACTATAATTCTAGTACGGTACGGCAACCCTGGTGGAAAATCATGTACGTTAGTGAGTATCGCCGCGCGCAATGATAGAACGGGAAGGGATTTCAGACGTGCTTTCCTCTGGAGTGTAGCGTACATCATTTGAGCAGTGTCCACACGCCGCACGCGACATTCTGTGTTTTAGTAGTTGGTACTTTAAAATTTCGGCATGGCCGATATTCGTCACGTTACAAAAGAAGTCTTGGCAGAATTCATAGAGATTTATAGGTCTCATCCAGCTTTGTGGAAGGTAAAATCGAAGGAGTATGTTAACAGAAATTTAAAAAATTTGGGTTACGACGCGTTAGTGGAATTTTATCAAAAGATAGACCCAAATGCTGATCGAAACCTTGTCTCTAGAAAAATTCAATCGATGAGGGGCTCGTTTCGAAAAGAGCTAAAAAAATTTGAGAGAAGTTGCGCTTCTGGTGATGATCAATACGTACCAAGTCTCTGGTATTTCGATTTATTAATGTTTACCCGGGAAGATGAAATGTCTACAGAGAGTTTTGATTATATGGCGAACAGTCCCTCATCCCCAGAAGAGACTTCCACTTCTGAGGTTATTGTCAACCTTGACGAAAACTCCACTGAAAATAGCCAAATGTTTGTCTGTTCTGAAGAACAACCACGTGCTGTTCCTAGAAAGGAGAAGAAAAAAGTTAAAAGGAATGAAATGGTTGGTATATATTCTATTATTTTAGTTTTTATTTCTTGTTGATAATTAGAACAAATTATACAGTTCCTAGTTGTGACAGTAAAGAGTTACAAATGAATATTTTTAAACATAATATATTAACAAGGTTATTTCATGTTACAGGACTTCAAAACACCTGCCAAAAGAGCAAAGATTAAAGTAACACCTCACGAGATGCAGCAGCAGAGTAGCACGGACGCATTAAAAAACTGTGGCGAAGAATCAGATAGTACAACTTTTGGAAAATTTGTTGCAATAAAACACGCAAAGTTAAATGAAACACAAAAGATGTACGCTGAAAGCCTAATTATGAAAATACTGCATAAAGCGGCACTAAATAAATTAACAGAAGACACCAGCATTCTCGAGCCGCGGCCGTAAGTTAGGAATACTTTTTCTCCATATCCGAAAACAGCTGCAAGTTGAGACATTTTTTAACTTTTTTTAGAATGTAAATATGAACCTAAATAAATAATACCTATGTTAAACTTGCCTTTAAGTAATCCTTATGTAATACTTCAACAGAGCCTTGCAAAGCTTGAGCAGATATTCCTGTAGTAAATTTAATTAGGCATTCGTCTCATTGCAGTATTTTGTTTACTGACAACAATACAATTTTCTTTTTATCCATTATAATTAAAAAAGTATTTCAACGAACTACAAAACAAAAAAAAATTATTATTATTATTATTATTAACATTCGAAGGCTTACCTTCGCTTGGCGAAATTTCAAGTTGAAAATTTGTACATGATCACATGCAGTTTCAAACGACTCGATAAATGACATTTTTTGCCCACTTGCATACGATTTTTCCTTTGAAACTGATATACCACGTGCAATTACTTGCTAAATCATTCGAATACCTTATCAAGTGTATGGAACATGACGCTTTTTTGCCATGCCGTTCTTTCGTGCATACTAACCGCTACATCCCATCACGCCGCGATAAACCGCGCGAAATAACGTCTGTGTATGGCCAGCTATTGGTTGAAATTAATGAGTTTCTCGGATAAAATCAATTTCAATTCTTGAATCAATATTTAGTTTTATACAGTTTAAATAAGATTAAACTTTAAAGCAACAAAAATGTTTATTTAAAATCAAATTTGTCAAAATCTTATTTTAAAATAATTATTTACTTGTTTTAACGATTCTACAATATTCATCTAATACTTTGGCAATGTCAAATTAAAATTAAGAAATGCATTTGATTGCCATTTCAATGCTTTGAAAATTTTACAATTATCACAATTTTTTATTGGTATAAAAACTAGTACTAAGATAATTGGAGGTATTAAAATAACTAGAAAAATCAGTGGGCACATTTCATCAAAGTGTTGTTAAAAAAGATATGGGTTTATTTCAATTTTTGCTTCTAGTTTCAGAGCCTTTGGTCAGGTACACCATTTGTCAAGCCATCCTGGTAGTTGCTTTGCATCAAATATTGATAAAATTGTAAATAGGTACTTAGGTATAATTAAAGTTTAATTAACTTATAATTACAGTTTTAATTAGCTTAGTTTGTATTTACATAAGCAACCATATCATGAACATTTATAAAGATAGACTTGGGCTGATTAAGATAATGATTAGTCAGAAAATAGGTATTTTTAATGTCATATGGCCCTTCTTCGCCTTCGTAGATTTCTGTGCCTTAATATTTTGCAAGACTCGTGTTGTTCGCGTACAATTTGTATCATGACTGCAGACCTTGTTTCAAGAATATAGCGGCTACATGCAGGAGAAGCAGGAGGTGGCAGACGACGACGGCAAAGGCAATCGAGTCAAGAGCAGCAGAAAAAAGAAAAGTTTGCTGCATGTTTTGCAGAAGAATAACCTTCTCTCCGTCGTCTCAGTTCTTTCATAATTTCCTTCGTTGTCTCTGCAACACTGCCATAAGTTTTATGTTTATTGTTTCAGATGAGGATTATGGACTTTTTACTTCTTGATCTAGTTTAAGCTTGTTTTTACACACAGGATTATATAAATATTTACAAACATGGTTCTAAATTTATACACAACAGCCATTTATAGGCGTGCATGAAATAAAGCCTTTTACAACCATTCTGGTTATTACAGAAATATTTCTTTACAATAAATTAACTTGTTATGCTGCTAAAAATAAAACCCGTTGCCAAATTGTTTGCTATTTTTCATTGCTCATTATATTCATTGAGAATATCTCTAACTCAATTATATAAAAAAACGTTTACAAAACATGTTTACAAATTTGCTTAACTTAATTTTACATTTAAATGCGATCAACATTAAGATATTTCGTAGCATATATTTTTTATCTGGAGTATTTATCTTTATGTGCTGCCTTATGTTTAGCGTCAGATTATTTTTAGCTGGCCATTTTAACTCCAACTGATTGTATGTTTAGATGCTTCTCGTCATCATTATTTTCTTTTTGTTCTATTATTGGGACTTAGTTTTTTATCTTTTATAGACCAAACATTTTTAATTTTTTCCACGAGGTTTGAATATAAAAATGAGTAAGTTAAAATCGTGACGGTGTTATTTTCTGTCGCGACCATGTGGAAATTTAAATTTATCCCGAAAAAAAACGAACGTGATTTTCGTATGCAAATCGAAAATGCCCAGACCGCCGCGCCGTGGAACTTATTATTAGTACTACGTAAACATTGTTAAAATGTTACGAAAATAAACTGAGAGAAATCGTGTAAATATACACCGATTCACATCTGCTACAGAAGTAGCGTTTATTAAATGAAAACACGCCACCACGCAGCTCTACGCGTCTCTTTTTCTTTTTGTTACCTATAAAAGCTAAAATTGCGTGGAACGGAATGTGTAAAAGAACGAAATTCGTTCAACGAATATCCTACGTAGATGAATAACACCGGGCTTTATGTATTCATGTATTCATATATGAATGAAATTAGATTGCGTTTATAATATTTCGTAAGCCTTTGATATATTAGGCCTTATTCAATACTTAATTTGCATCAAATTTCTTAGTTTTTATTATATCGAGTTAAAGTAGAATACTTAAGAAATAATTTTTCTAAAAAAAAAAATTGTTGAAAGAGAAATATTCAAAAAAAATAAAATGAATACATTAGGGTGCTTTTTTTTCACGCCTATTTTTTATTTTTTCGCTCCCAACTCAAAATCTTGTTGAAAATGTTCAAAACAAATTCCCTGAAAATTTGAGCCCTTAATATTAACTCAAAGTACTCTACCAAAGCGTATAAAGATTTCCATTTAAAATACCCGTATACGTGTATACTGAAAAAAATAAGCTGTTGAAACAACAAAAAAAATATTAATTCAACTCTTTATGCACTTTAAATACAAGCAATGGTTTTTGCACGTTTACTTAACCATCTAAAAATGTCAAATTGTATTGTTTAATTGAACAACAAATAACAGTCAAATGAACAAAATAAGAATATTTGTTCTAATCTGCTAATTTGGTTAATTTAACATTCTTAGGGTGTTAAGGTGAATTTCTTGAAATGTCCAGGTAACCTTTTTAGCATATTCACTTAACACCAATAAAATGTTAAATTAACATTCTGAAAATGTAAAATTCTTTAAAGGTTGGTATCCAAAACAAAATTATGGAAATAATATATTATTATATATAAATAGAAAGAATTGAACCTTCACCTCGCCCAGAGTTTTTGTTTTGAGCGTGTTCCACCCATGATACATCTTTGTATCATGTGTTCCACCTACTTCAAATACCGACAGACTGTTTCGCCCTGTATTGAGGGTCTTAACAGTGTCGGGCAATATGGTGTAGTGAAAGTTCTACTGTGGAACACACCTTAAACAAACAGATATCTCATCTTATATACACCTAATCGTAAGCTAACTAAGGCGAGATGTAAGAAAACGTCATTGTCTAAGGACGTGGCGTGAGTGTTCGAAGCGCCATTCTCGGCAATTTTATGAATGCAAATTTTACATTTTAAATTTTAAAGTAACATTTTAAATTTGTTAAATGAACAAATTTAAAGTTTTGGATTAAAGAGCAACTAAACGTTAATTTAATAGTTTTTTAGGTAATCCTAAAAATTTTAATTCAAAATATTAGCTTATGTTAAATTAATATTTAAACTGTCAAATGAACAAATAAACTTTGACAAACTCTGACTTTTGCTTTAACACCAAAATATAGATTAATCCAATAGGTTTTTTGTTGAAACAACATTTTTAAAAATGACATTTAGGCAAATGTTAACTCAACTACATTATTTTTTTCGGTGTAAACTTTGATTATTTTTTTTAAATATGTATATCTCAGCCGCATTTTATGCTATTGGATTGTTTCAAAAAGGGATTTACTCGTTATCAAGTTCTACAAAAATGCTTTATGTGCCATAGCTGTAATCTGCACCTGTAGGATGGTACGGGTCACTAAATCTTATTTTAGTGAAAAATTTTCATATTTTTGAATATATTTCAAAAGTGACTGGATTCTTTGAAAAAATGTAAAGGACAATCTTGTAGAAAATTTAATTTTCTTTAAAAAATGTCTTATCATTTGAATCGCTAAGATTGATATTTGTTGAGATATAAAGCGTTTACATTGACATTTTATGAAATTTTCAGGATTTTCGTACCAAACTTTTTATAAATGATGATTATCAATTTCATGTAATTACGTTTTTTCTACAGTCGGGTGATTAGAGAAAAATAAATAACTAAAACAATCAAGCATACTTATTAATAAAATAACTTGTATGTAATACACCTCGTTATATCAATTTTTAGGTTAAAGTTATGTTATTAATAATTATGCTTGATTGTTTGAGTTATTTATTTTTTTCTAATCACCCGACTGTAGAAAAAACGTAATTAGATAAAATTGTACTGATAAACAATTGAAAATCATCATTTATAAAAAGTTTGGTACGAAAATCCTAAAAATTTCATAAATTGTCAATGTAAACGCTTTATATCTCAACAAACATCAATCTTAGAGATTCAACTTAAAAGACCCTTTTTAAAGAAAATTAAATTACTTAATATCTTCAAAAATATGAGAATTTTTCACTAAAACTACAACTATAGTGTAAGTCATTTATACATTGTAAATCATTCTAAATATATTTTCCATAATTATACATTTTAATTTTTTTGTTTTTAAGGAATATTTTTCTTTCAACAATTTTTAAAGAGCAATTATTTCTTGCTTTTCGCGGCACTGCTACCTTGGCATTCAGTGGCACAGAGCTTGCGATGGTTCTTTTTCGAGTATTTATAACTGCATGCATCCGTATGCAGTCCCCCCTCGGCCCCCTTTAGCTACAGTTCCCCACCTCGGGGCCAGACAACTATAACCGTACGTTTTGAAAACGACACTCCGCTTTCTGCTGCTATATTTATGCGACTGCTGCGGCAA